CTTAGGGGCTGAGTACCCTAGCCACATTTCTATACATATGAATATGGGTATTGCTAATATTAGCACTAGTAGTATGAATACTGTTATTAACAGCCCCAAAAAGTTAAAGAAGGTTACCTCTCAGCTCAAAGGTAAGCCCATGCCCTGCAGCCCCGGACCCCAAAACCTGAAGCCCTAAACCTCTCAATCCTATATCCGGAACCAAAACCTCAGACCCCAAAACCTGAACCCTGGACCCCCAAATCCATATCCTGAACTCTGAAGAAAATCGGGTTTAGGGGTTTAGGATTTAGGGATTGCACCAAAAACCTCAGACCCCAAAAATCAGAAGTCTGCTTCTGCCTGCTCAAAGACGTACTGGTACACAACCGGGTTCACCAGGATCTCACCAGCCTTCCGGAGGATCGTGGGTTTGGGGTTTCGGGATCATCAAGAGCTGAGGAAGCAGAGGGTTCGTGTTGAAGTGAGAGTAGAGTTTAAAGTTTGGGAGTTGCCGGGTTCCTAACTAAACCCTAAACCCGAAAACCCTAAAGCCCTAAACCTGCGAATGATTCTAAGCTGGATCGTTTAGGATGCAAGCTTTCGGCTGAGGAGCTTTAGTCTTCGCAAAGGAACCGGTGAATTCTGATGGTGCCTCAGGGCTTGGAGTACAATTGGGCCGAAAGGGGCCTGAATAACTAGGGAAGCCTTTCAGAATACATTATAGGGTAGTCTTCCAGGACATAGAAACAGAATGTTAGTTCAGGTGTGCTTGTCATCCTTTGAAACCTTTGCTCAGGATAGAGTCCAGTATCTCGGAAATCACTTAAGGCCAGGATGCTTCCCTTGTTTTCGTTCCAAACCCCGACCCAGTCTGAATCCTAAACCCTAAGCCTCTAAACCCTAAGCCGTGAGCGCGCTAAGCGCCCTAAACCCTAAACCCCAAGCCTCTAATGTAGGGGCGCTAATCATTAGAAGAGGGTTTTGGGGCCCATTCCACTATAGTTATAATAAGGAGCCCC